CTTTCACGTCAGCGATAACCGTGTAAAGTGTATTTAAATTTTATAACAGTTTTATTTTTAATTTTGAAACCCTTTCCTTTGAATTCTTGTTTTTCACCTACCAGAATGATTTTTTTTGTATCGCGTTGCATGTAAACGAGGTAGAAGGAGTATTTAAGGAAGGTTCAGCTTACTTCAGCAGAAGAGCTTATGAGTCCTTAGTAGCGCGTGTTTGCTATCAGGCTACTTCATTATTAAACCTACTACGCTCGGCCGTATTTGTACGTGCCTATTGATAATTGTCGGCTAATTTAAATAAGAGCCAATTACGTTAGGTATTTGTGTCTAGCTTCGGCTAAGACAGTTCAGTTAAGTATTAGATTAGTTTCTTATTTTTCTTATCTTGATTTGAAGCCGGAGGAGGCTTTCCTGTACGCCCAAGAAGGGACCGACTGTATCATTTCTTTAAGAGAATAAAAGGGTATTTTAACTTTATTATTTATTGTTACACTTGAACTCAACGATAAGTCGGTACAGAGTTCAAAATGTTCATCTACATTCAGCATAGTCCAAGTAGTGAATCAATTCGGCATCCGCAACTGCCTGTCTCCTTTTTCAGCTTGGTGACAGTCTCATTAATAGACTCTCGCGAATACGATATAAATTTCTACAGCTGCTTATAGTTACTCTGATATATTTTATCCAAAACTACTGGGAAAAAATCTTACTTCTCACAATACTTATTGCGTTATCAAAATGCATTTTTCATAAGCTGCATCTCAAAAAGAAAGAAGGAAAAATTAATTTTATGCGTGTCTATTTCCACCCTGTGTCCGTTTTAACTTATTAAAAAAATTAACTGAATTAATTTCAATTAAGTCAAAATAGACACAGAATGATTTAGAATCACCAACAAATTGCAATTCAGGACAGTTTGATTATTTTCAATAATTTCGAGAAGTGAGGGCCAGAACCAAGAATATCTATTAATCGATGAGATACTACAAATCAGAGTCTCTAATATTAAAAAATGCCAGAAAATACTCACAGATCAAGTATAACAAAACATATGCAATGCTATTATTTTATTCTTGATATACATGCAATGAACACTGACACCTTTGAATCTCCTCCATTGAAGCTAACTTCAGACTTTTCTGGGAATTTTCGACGTTCTCAAGAAGGCGGCAAAACCACACTCAATTCGATCTGTCCAATCTGAACAGAATGATTTTTCATGGACAATGCAGAGAGGGCATGACTTTCTCAAGGGAATGAGAAAAGACTCCAAAAATCTTCGAAGTTTGCGCTTACTACAGTTTCAGAAATTCCAAAAGCGAAACACACATCATACAACACACCGTGAATAACGCAATATTTAATCGCTTAAAACATGATGCAATAATGAAATATAGTGACAAAACTTTATTTTATAAGATTTCACAATAAATAACAATATTACAGGGGGAAAAAATTATAGCATTTTGATGTCACGAATTAAAGTTTTTCAATATTCTTTGTTTAAATCATTATTTTATTTACAATAATATTCCATTACAAGGTAATTTTTTTTGGGGGGGGGATGTGTGTGTGTGGAATAACAAGGTTGGAGGAGAAGTAAAGAAGGACGATTGAACAAGAATGCGAAAGGGTTGAATCTGAAGTCCAAATTGCTTCGCCGCTTATCTTGCAAAAGGATTAACTACAATTGCCAGTTTTGTTGAAAAATAGAAGCATTTTGTATGGTTTCACTTGGGGGATTGTGGTTCAGAAAAATCGATAGGAGAATTTGACTGGCATTGAGAAACCAAAAGTTTGCTATTCCGCATGTGTTTTCATGTCTTAGAAAAAAGTCATCGCAACAAGTTATGGGATTGCATATTCATCAACAAAAGATACGCATTACATGATTTCTCGAAGTACGGTTAAAAGGAATTATTAAATTAAATATTCCAAACATTCATTGTTGGGAAAAATGTTGGTGGATTAATGATTTCTGCAAAAACCTAGTGAACTCTTACAAAGACGACTGTAAGAAATGTCTGAAAATTTATTTTTAGTTGTCACTAGGGGGACTAAATGCTTCATGATGCATGCTTTTGTTTATGGATCAGGCAACGCCAGTCTGAATGCGACTCTGGAACTGAATAAAACCTGAAACCTGAAATTTGATGTGCATTTTCTTTGCTTTTTCATTAGAAGTAATTTTGTTTATAATAATACCATGCAGCTTACCTCGCCGTTGTCAAACATGCATTTCAGATGGAGGATATCATATCCGTTATTAGAGTGATGATTTCATTGCACATTCTTCTAACCCATTTGGTCCTTTGCGATCTGACGGTCGTAACAAATGTGTTTTTATATGTATCTTCTTTATTGTTTGCTACGTAGTCTACCACACGAACCTTTTGGATCAATTTTAATCATATTCATTAAATAGCTTATTCCTATCTTGATGAAATTTTGCACATTTGACCTTCAAAACAAGAGGAAGGTTACTGTCTACGTAAGATTAAGAAAAACCACCCCACGAGGTCCGCACTCAGAATATTTACATTAGCACGTTGTGATCGCGTCATCCATATTACGTTTACGTCCCCGTTGTTACGTTTCCGCTATCAATGAAAGTCATACATGCCAAAGCAAGGTATTTAAATATTTTTCCACAAAAATAAATATTAATATTTCTACACAGATGCAGTTTTGAAATCATGTAACCCATCTAAGGTTCACGTCGTCGTTGTTGCTTTCTCGCTATCAGTTTTAGCTAAAACGGTTAAACAGTGCCGTATTCCCTTATTCTTCAGAACAGTGTAGCAAAGGGATGGGTAAAAAGACGGCCTGCGTGCCGAATGTGGCCCTTCTAATTGTTTTAATCCTGCCCGCTATGAAATCCTGCACACAGACATTTGCATCTCTTTACTACCCGATTTTGTACACAATAACCGAAATCACCAGCACATGCTCATCTGTTGTTAAAGTATACGTGCACATATATACGCATGACTAAACTAGCTCTCAACCGAGTATGAGAATACTAGATATGCTAGAAAATACGTGCATCGGAAGAAAAATATAGTAGTTCTATCTTTTCCAGCAGCATTAATTTAGAAATTAAACAATGACGTTGAATACTGTTGAGATAAAAAGACTGATCAGAAAAAGGAAACTAGGGAACACCGATGCGTAGTTTAAAAAATCCGAAATTCAGAATTATATTGAACATTAACCACATAAGCATTATATATGGCTTAGAGGTACTAGATATCACGACGATGTACGTACTGCATTCGTATTAGGAGATACGATAGTAATAGGTTAAAAACAACGATAACATCATAATATAAGATTCCCTAACAGAAGTAGATGGAGGTACATGAATTTTCATGATATAATGTATTTTCTCCATCCTTTCTGCGTGCTTTCGTGGTGTAACGGTAGCACACTCGGTGCGCATTCGAGACGTCCAAATTCGAGTCCCAGCGAGGGCACTACACATTTTTCAGATCTCCCTGCTTCGAAAAATTCCTAATCACTCTACAATGGGTGTGTATGTGATTATGGCAAAACCTCGAGGGGTATCTGCCTAAAGGGAGGGATGCCTTCGTGGAGGACTTTCTAAGGGAAACTGGCTCGTATACACGTTACACATGGGGAAAATCACGAAAACGCCAATGCAGCCAGCACTTTCGCGGGATTCGAACCTCGGATCGAACTACCAGTGTTCAGCAAGTTTACCTCTAGTTGGCCACTCTGCCATGGGAATTATTCGCATGGGATTAACTATAATAATAAAAAAATGTATGGTGACGTAGAATAAGATAATGTAGCTTGTGCATGAAAATGTAGGTATAGTCAATGACAGAATGGTACATTTCTTTATTTTTGGTGTAGCAAGTTTGAAATAAACATATGACTGACGTAAGACGCTCACCCGTTCTTATATAATTACATACATACTTTTACACATTTATAGCAATGTAACTGAAGTAAGAAAGAGACGAGGCAGACTCTACATTAGCAGCATAGAAAAGCGAAAAGAATGCAAAGGTTACGGCATAGGTGCTAAATTAAAAAGTAACGAAGTTCTGCGTACTTTTATGGGCTGACTAAGGGTTACGAAATTTATCATCTCAACAGGCTAAAAGATGTTAAGTTTCACTTTTGCCATCACGTAAGTTGTATACGTCATTATCATTACAAAAGAATCATACTACTGGAATAAATTTTTAAATAAAGCCGTTCAGAAAAAATTTATTATAAAAAAATTACTATTTTTAGTATAGAAAGTGGAAATAATCAAATTAAAAAGGAGAATTAAGGAGATATTACAAATTATATAATGACAGAACTATACAGTTTTAAATGTGTATATATATATATATATATATATATATATATACATGCTATGTAAGCAGAACACATTTATTTTGAATTCGATAATTAGTAACCTTACAAATATGAGCGATTACATACAACTTTAACTGACAATTTCTATAAAAAACCATCAACTTGGCAATTTCTAGAAAGAACCATTTCATCATTGAAAAAAGTGAAAAAACTCCTAATAAGGTTAATTTTTGGTGGTACAATTTTATTTTTAGTTTTCCTTATTTACGCGGTTAATGTGGTGCATATTATATTAACATTTGAAACTTCATGACCGACACTATTCCTCTCATTCTTTCCTCTACTTCCGCAAACAATTCGAAACACGAAATTTTGACTCACACGATCAAGAAAGTCGGTGATCAAACGGCGCGTGATTCAAGAACCGATTGCCTCCAGTCATTGATTTACCGTCATTTACACATTCAGCTTACGTCACTATGTACGGAGATGACGTAATGATAACCAAAGTGGAACTGATGATGCAATGAACTTCGCACCTGATTGGACATCACAGCAGGTGTAGCGTTTAATGCATTTGTAAAGTAATATCCCTTTAAAATTTGATGTTTTAAGGTTGTTACAGTAGGAAAATGCATGATCAAAAATAAGAGTAAACATTTTCTCTTACGGTGTACAAGGAAATCCGTGTCCCATCCAGAGGAATAAGTGACGAATTCTTGGCGGGGCTTGGCGAGCCAATCAGTCGCCGAGGCAAGCACCATTTCATGACGCAACTTTCGACGCTTGTGACGTGGAGTGCGTAACGTCGGCTTCCTCTTAAGGCAAATCTGCGGACAAGTTCACACATGATTAGAAGGAAAATAAGTCCTAAATTAAGAAATCCGCAGCTGCAATGCGTAGAAAGGTAAAAATGCAATTGCGGCAGAAGGAGCGGTGAGGAAGGGGAGGGGAAGAAAGGATAAACACTTAAGGAGAAATAAAGAGAGAGCAAGGATGATCTTGGGAAAATTAAATCACGTATTGCATTCTCAAGAAAATTAAGCAGAAATGCATGTTTAAAATTTAAGGATATCTTATCTATTACTAAAATGTCGAGATGACGAAAAATATCAAATATAATAAAAAAAAGCCTATCTAACGATTAAAGTTTTCTCAGAATAAAAATTACTCCATTTATTTCACCACAATAACTTATTACAAAATTATATAGCATTCGAGTAATTCAGATTACTTTCATTTTGTTTTTTAAATATATATTACTATTACATTTATTTATTAAGTCCTAAAAATCTGCTTCTTTCTTCTTTGCTAAATTCAACTAGTACTTACAAGTATGACATAAATGATTACCGGCACACTGACATTACCAAGCTTTTAAAGTTTTGTTTCTCAATACCATAAAATTTCTCGTATGAATCTCGTTCTGCATGAAATTAACCGCTAATGTCCAAACAGCTGCACTTTCGAAGGTCTAAAAATTTAAATCCGTTTAGAATTAACTATGAGATTATGTATATATAAACTAATAATTTATAATTATAAAAGTTTCATATACCATCTCCAAGCAACATAAATTAAATTAAAACCAAGAAAAAAAAATTTAGTCAGTATTTTAAATTAGTATTTTCTACACCTCTATTGGTTTAAAAAAATAAAATTCTGTAAAGAAAAATCCTTAATATTAAAAGTAAAAGTTGTAAGTATTGAAAAAGTATTTATTGTCATTGATCGCAAATTAAATTAACTTGTCAAAGGAGAAACAAGTTTATATGCTTGTTTCTTCTTCTTTATATATATGTAATGAGTTAATAATCTGAAGCCATAAATATGAAAAAAAAAATTGTATTATGTTTCTACCGCCCAGTGTAACTAACAATCGTTATTCAACTAATGAATTAATAAAATATCCATAATATAGGCTACTGATTCCTTTTTACGCGTCGATGTGTGAACTTTGAAGGCAGCGTCCAAAAATTTCAGAAACAATTCCCATTGAAAGAGTTATATTTTGTTTGCTTGACGTAAGATGTAAAGAACATTTAAGTTATGGCTTATAGATCACGTTCGTTGATGAAGAGTCAGTGACGAAAATTCTGTTGGTTTTAAAACATATCCAGTGCACAGGGCTAACAACTTGGATTTATTGACAACGAGCCAAACAACGAGAATCAGCGTTGTATTTATATATGATTCTTGTTGTTTGACTTCTTACATGGTCGTTATTCGGCGTGAACCTAAACTAGAACTTAGTTCCATGTTCGGAGAAACTTAGTAAGGAGGAGAAACAAACTTGAGTGGGATGTAGACAATTCTGTTTCCGTCACACTCTCTCAAAATCACGAAGAGATTATAGAATATGAACTGGGAAAGGAGAAATAATGAGAAGAGGGAAAGGATGAACATGATAACAACACGCAGAACAAGAAAGTTACGTAGAAAGAAGTTGGTGAAGGACTGCAAACTTTTATGAGATTTCTTGAGAAATATTTATCTATATGTCAGCATATCATGTTATGAAGTTTCATTGTATACACAGTTAATCTTAAAATTTACGAGAACAATCTTGTAAAAAGGCATATATTCGAATTTATTATGCCACCTCACTATGAAATTCGTAATATTTTATGCGATAATATAAACAGTTATTTTCAATATTGTTTAATTTTGCTTTTTTGAAATATAAAATCATGCGCATGGTGTTTTAATTTTAAATGATTTGTATAATTTTCAATATTGTTTATTTAAGTGTGGCACACATATAGAAACACATGATTTCGCATGCTGCAGTTTTTGCAGGTGGTATCAAAAATTTATTTCTTAATATGTTGTTTTTAAAATTTTGTAAATATCATTCGTAGTTTGGTTTTTAACAACTTTTTCCAAAACTCCTTAGCAAATCCGTCAAACTCGTTAACAATGTTTGGCACAGGTGCCATACTTTCGTTCAGCACCAAAAGGGTTATTTTAACAACTAATTGTTTTATTATTATGTTAATTACTAATCCAACTGATTCTTTTAATAGCCTTTCAAGAACTAAATGCAGTTTTTACATGTTTGCGCCCTAAATATAAACAATTTTTCTTTTCGGACCCAGATGCAATTTTTTCGGATTTGAGCCCTAAATTACGAACTATTTTTTCCCACATATAACGCGTTTTAAGAAAGAAAGGAAGGAAATTGATCAAAAATGCTACTTACGTACTTTTTCGTCAGCCGTAATCGACGAATATAAACTGTCGCCAAACAATGCGATTTAGCGCCAGTAAAGTACAAGCGTAATGTCAAAACATGATGAGATTTTCACTTTGGTTTTACATAACCCTAATTCTCAATACACTAGTTTAGTTTTTGCATAGAAGAATAAAATTTACCGATTTTTCTAACGCATTTTCGAAAAATGATTAAAATTTGAGAACTACTTTCTACAGAATAGCAAGGACGGGAGTGTGTTTTCAAAGTTACGAAACTTGTTATACAGTTACCCTTGCTGAAACCATTGAAAGATTACAGGATTTGGTAAAATGGCGCAATAAAACAGTGCAGAACCACGCGATACCACTTAAATTCGTAATTAAGCAAAATTTATGGAGGTGCCTTCTCTATAAAGGGATAATTTCTGTGCTATTTTAATAGTCATTACGGATTTATGACCGTTGGAATGACTGGTGCTAATTTTAATAAATTTGTTGGATAATCTTTAAGCTTCAGTTCATATTTATTTAAGTTTTTTATATATTAAACCCGCAAATTCCGCCTGCTAATTATCGAATTAAAGGTTTAGTTTATTATACCAAAGCACACTAGGGCTATCTGCCTAAGGGGGGTGCCTTCGCGGAAAACTTTCTAAGGGAAACTGGCTCGTATACACGTTACACATGGGAAAAACCACGAAAACGCCCATGTAGCCTGTTCACCTGGAATCGAACCCATGTCGGAACAACTAATTTTCAGCGATGTCGGAACAACTAGTTTTCAGTTTTACCGCTACGCGGCTGCTGGGCTATCTAATTAAAGAAAGAGATATCTGTGATCATCTAACCAATTAAAGTGCTATCAGTTCCTTCAACCATCCACCGGAATGGTTAGCGTAAGTGTTAGGAAAAATGTGTTCAACATTCCTTTCTTCTAAGATGGTGGATTGGACAAGTTGGATACCTTTCCTAATCCTCGCGAATCGTAAACTATTTACGGCAATTCATAGGTTAAAAAAACTAAAATATCAAAATCTTACTCATCTGAAGTCAAGAATGTCTACAACAATTGCAAGCATCGATTCCACATCATCATCTTGTAGTCCAGACGAAGTAACATATCGATGAAGACGATGCTGTTATTGGTTAGACACAGATATATTTTACACTTTATGGTTATTTAATAATTGTAATAAAGCATTAATTAAAAAGCACCATTAATTTTTTCCTGACGATTTTTTCAGTTTTATTTGAATAAGCATATCGCGCACTAGGGCTATCTGCCTAAGGGATCCCTAAACTTTTTGTCCCTAATAAGAGCACATTATAGAATATCTGACGGGCAGCGATCACTATTTACTTGTTCAAGATGAATTTACATGCACATAAAAAAGAGATCGGTCGCATTTCGCTTTGTGCTGTTATCCGTGCTAGACGCAATTTCTATTTCATTAAAAATGAGAAAACTTTCACATACAATTTTATTGAAAACTAAAACATTTTTATTGCGATCGCACAGCGGTGGGCGCCATGGTGCCCGCCGGCATAGGGTTGGGAACCCCTGGCTTGTGGGAAGGGTGGCTTTGTGGAAGAATTTCTAAAGGAAACTGGCTCGTACCCATGCTACACATGGGGAAAACGCTCGTGCAGCCAATATATTTGCCTGGAATCAAACACATTATTTCAGGACTTCCAACTCCATTTCTTTTTTTCTCGTACCAAGTTACATGAATGAACAGTATGAATACCGAGGGAAACACAATCTTCTTTTATCATACCTTTTAATAAGCTGCTTGCAACGCCTGTATTCCGGAACGAGAATTTAATGTTTACGGTCAGGGAGAAGGGGGGAGGGAAGAAAATTGAACGCAATTTTTGCTTCCAAGGAGTTGTCCAATTCATTATAATACATCACTGCACCAGAAAATGAAGTTTGCAATCGCATCTGTTTGTCAACACAGGCATCGAAACGAAGAGTGAAATAATAAACGTAGAAAAAACGAAAACTCTAAGTCTAGAAATAAATTAAGAAACAATGCACAGCCCTTGAAAATCGCTCATGAAAATCTAACCAATGTCATGTGCTTCATTTCACTTGACAATGGTGACAAGAGAAACTGAAAAAATGAACACAAAACGGAATTTTAAATGGTTATGTACAAAACGCGATAAGCCATTGAAAAAAATACTGCCTTAAACGCAATTCCCATGCTCATAAGGGCCATTTACGCTCCAAAAGACGACGCCAAAATAATGTACAAAAATTTATTTTCACAGGAACTGCATTATTTTCCGGTGCCGTCACAGTAGATTGGTGCCACCTATTGTATTCCATTCCCAGCCGTAGCGGTATCTGAGAGCATATCTTAATTTGGCCTTGGATGACGGAAGCGCCCTCTCGTGAGAGGAAGACACGTCTTCCGGTGACGTCAGCGAGCTTCGGCCTCAATGCGCCTTTTGCGACCGCACACGGCAAATTCTCATGCAAATTTCATAAGACACGTAATCTCTGCGAATTTTTTAAAAATTACACTCTCACTGAATTTTAATTTCGTTTAGAAAAAGAATCACCCCACGAAAGCACAGACAGACAATAAATGCCCTTTCTTTTTTTTTAAATAATATACATATATAT